ACTGGAGCCAATGCCTTTTTACAACTAGAGCCGCCCTATTGGTTTCACTATGATTTAAACCGCTGTAGTTGGGATGAAAACCCGACTTTATATCCAAGGTGAGATCTTTTTAGAAGTGTTTGTCTCACTGATACACATTTTCACTGCGCTTCGCTCAAAAAACCTACCATTTACGCGCAGCTAGGCAGAGAAATACATTTCAGTGCAGCATCTCTGGACTGCTGCTGAGGAGGTGCGTTCCCCAAACTACGCGAATCACAAACCTTTGGGCAAACAAGCCCCCAGCGGGGAGGAGGAAGCCACGGCGCTGCACCGCTGGATCTCCAATATTCTCACCACTCCTTCCTGTAAGCCTTACCACCTCGCCCCTGGTCTCGAACGGGATCACAGCACACAGAATTGCTCCGGCCTCGTTTATTAAACCAGGAGGGGCATTTTCAGAAGAGCTTTACCAGGCCCTGCGCCTTCAGCACTGTGATCTGCACTCGTGTTGCTGGGGTCGACTGCGACTCGCTGGGAAATGCTGCAGCATCGGGCGAGGCAGAGGACTCCTCTCCGGCAGGCAGCCCCGCAGGGACCTCCATGGCTCTGCAGGAAAAAGAATGAGGAAAGAAACATGAAACTGCCTTATTCTTCTCCCAGAAACGTCTGCAGGCCACAGCAGCCGTGGTTGCTAGCATTATTCAGGGCTTGGCTGTCAAAACGCCATTGAAAGCACAGGGCTTTGTCAGTGACGAATCTCTCATGAGGAGCAGGGGGAGGACAGGGAGAAATGTAATGCAAAAATTCTCCAGCTCTGTAAATTTAACCCAGCTGCAGCTCTCGGCTCCTCTGTGAAGGGCTCAGCGTGACAAGCCGCTCTCCCGGGCTCTCTCTTGCCTCTTGCTGGACTGAAACGCGCGGCTGTGGGGCCGGAACCCTGCGGCCGCCAGCCCACCCTCACGCAGCCCCCCCCCCCACACACAGGGCCGGGGGACCTGGCGCCATCCCGCACCACGGGCGTGGAATCCCCCTGGAGACACGGCGGGGCCGAGGACACCCCCGTCACGCCGCCGCTCCCACGCCACGGCGTGGAGCGCCGGGGGGCGGCCCGCAGCCCCTCACCGGCACCGGGCGGCGGCGGGGCGCGAACCCGCGGCCTACCTGCCTCAGGGGGCGGCCCGCGTCGGGTAACCACGGCAACGCGGCTGCTCCCGCGAGGGCACAAAACCTCGCGAGATCGCGGCCCCTCGGCGCCGGGGGGAGGGGGGTGTGTCTTTGAAGCCGCTGCCGCCGCCATGATGGGTGTGGGCAGCCCTTACCAGCACCCCGTGGGGCGGGGGTCCCCCCCCAGCTCCCACCCGTATCGGCTGTGTGCGGGAGCGCAGCCGGGGCGCTCAGCCCTTCCCTGCAGCCTGGAGTGCCCCTGGGGAGCCCGGCCGCTGCCCCAGCTCAGTTCCTGACCCCTGGCCCCTCCTGGCAGCGGCCGCGGTGCCCACCCAGCCGCTCGCTCATGCCCCTCGGAGGGAATGGGGGGTCCCCGCAGGCTGGGCTGGGGTAGGGGGCTCGCCAGAAGGGACTGGCAGGCCCCGTGGGGACAGAGCGGGGGGGTCCCAGGGGCTTGGGCAGCCACCCCAGCTCCCCTCAGGGGTGCAGCGCAGGGGCAGCTCCAAGGCAGAAGGGGTTCCGGGGGACCCCACTGCCACCACCGGTGACTTTCGGGGCGGGTGCTGGACCCCTGGAGCGGGTTGGCCCGTTCCCTGGGAGGGGACGACCAGAATAGCTCCGCTATCCGATTCCTGCCGGAGGGGCCAAGGCTGTTCTCCTCTGCCGCTATCTTTTCGGGGCTGACATTTGAGGCCAGCCCAGCGGGACGCGCACCGGGGTCGCCCGGCATCCCCCCGGCTCCTCCGTCCTCCGGGGACGAAGCAGCGAGATGGCAGGGGGGAGGCGACGCGGGGGCGGCGGGCGGCGTGGGGGACCCCGGCAGCACCCGGGGACCCGCGAACCAGCCCCCTCGCCTGCACCCCTCTGCCCCGCGGCCGCAACGGCGCAGCGAAACGCAGGCGCTGCCCCCAAAACCAGCCGCCCCAAGAAGCCCGTGGAGGAGCCGGCGGTGAGGGCACCCGACGTGGACTCGTTGGGCTTCCAGGCCATGGACTGCAACGTGCCGGGGCTGTCCCGTGTCATCCTCCAGAAGCTCAACATGAAGAGCTACGAGGACTACAAGTGAGTGAGCGCCCGTGGGTCCTGCCACGGGTGCGTGCTTCCCCCTCCCACCCCCAGCCAGAGCGTCCCGTGTGTCCCCCCGCAGCTGGAGCATCTCCCCTGGCTCATCCCACCCTCCCAGCTCAGTCTATATGCGGGGTGCTCTAACGGGGCTCCTGGGTGCACCCCTCCACCAGCCCATTCCCCGGCTCCCAATTCCCACCCAGCCCAGGCCAGGGTGCTTTGGTTGCAGCTAAAAACCCTGGTGGCCTCGGAAGGAGGATGTCAGCCCTATTGTGATGGCAGAGCAGCGTGGGCTGGATCCCACTGACACCCACCCCCCCCCCCCGACATCTGCAGGTCTGCCATGGACGGGAGGAAGAGCGGCAGCGATTTCGGCATCCGAACTTACTTCGACATGTTTCAGAAGATGGAGGACACCTTCAAGTTTTGCGCCGAGTGCAAGAAGCTCCCCGATGCCCTACCTGACCCCAAAAGGCTCCGGCGATGCAAGAGGTATGGCGGGGGGGAGGTGGTCTGATGGCACGGGGCCGGATCCGTCCCCTCGCTTCCAGTCTGGTGGCTGGGGTGAAGCCAGGGGTGTCTAGCCCCGAAGCCCACCTCCACCCACAGGGCACCCCCAAAACAGCGATGCAGCCCTGGGAGAGGGTGGCAGGGAGCCAGGAGCAGGCTGGATCCTGGCCCCTGCTCCTGCCTCCCCGGCTGGGCACGCTGCCTCTCTCCCCAGGTGCCAGAATGTGTACTACTGCGGCGTGGCGTGCCAGCGTGCCAACTGGCCGCTGCACAAGAAGTTCTGCAAGAAGCTGAAGCTGGTGGCCCTGGATCGGCTGGTGGAGTGGCTTGTTTTCACAGGTGGGGCAGGGGACGCTGCTCCCACTCTGTGTGTGCCCCCCACCGGTCTGCCTGACCCCCCCCCCCCCCCCCCCCCAGGCTGCGTGGGTCCTGTGGAGGGATGTGGGGTCCCTCCTCTTGGCTCCAGCCCCCCCGGCTGGGTCCAGCACCCTCACAGCCCAAGTGGGATGGGCAGCCTGCGTCGTGGGGCCACCGCTGCGACCTCCAACGCTTCTCCCTACAGGAGACATCCCCTTCCCCACAGAGTCCTGGACAAAACCTGCCTGGGAAGTGAAGGGCTGGGAGGACTGGTTCTCCATGCAGGGACAGCTGGAGGAGAAGCTGGGTGCCATCCTGGCCGGGCGGTACATGACCCTCCTCTGGGCCAACGCTGGGAAGCCCCGGCCGGAGGACGGGGAGCTGCGCGAATCCATCCGGCGGCTGGTCACCGACTTCCACTCGCGGCCGCTCACCATCGGCTTGGGGCTGCGGCTTTTCGGCATCGACCCCCTTGCCAAGGCCCTCACCGTGCACGTGGTAGGGGCGTCCCACGTCGAGACCCTCAACACCCGGCTGACGGACTACGACGAGCTGACGCGGATGTTCCCGGAGCACCGGGGGGTGGAGGTGGTGATGGTGGGGGTGGACGTGGTCAACGGACCCATCCTGAGGCCACCCCTGGCCACACCGGCGCCCCGGGGAAGGGTCTATCTCAGCGCCTACAAGGGGCTCTACCACGATTTCTGGGAAAGCCACGTGGAGACCAAGCTGGCCGCCCGCCCCGACCTGGTGGTGGGCTTTCACCCGGGTGAGTGCCTGCGCCAGGGAGGGGCCCCGTGGGGCTGCGTGGAGCGGGACGTCCCCAGAAGGGTGCAAGGTAGTCCCTGAGCACCCTGGCGGCACAGGGGGCTGAGCCCGCTGGTGGCTTGGGACACGCTCAGGGCTTTGCACCAAGTTGCAACGAGCAGCTGGAGCAGCCAAGGTGACCTGCTGGGGCTTGGCTGCCTTGTCCCCACACCGCCGGGCACTCGGCGTCCTGCCTGTGTCACCCAGCTGCTGGCCAGTGGGTGTGAGCAGCACCCAAAGGGGTCCCTGCTTTCAGGTCTCTGCACGGTGGCTCAGCTCAGGACCCAGAGCCCGGGGGGGCCCCCCCCATGCTGGTGGGGAGACGGGACCCACCTTGCAAAAAGCTGCCAAACCCTATCACCAGCATCACCGCTGGGGTCTCCAGCGTAGAGTGGGTGCTGTCAGAGCTGGCTTTCCCCAGGGCCAGGGTGGGATGGGAGGGAGGTGGGACCCTCGCTGCTGTGTCCCCCCCCCCCAGGTTTCCACGCCTGCCCGGATCTGCTGGCGGGCTGGCTGCCCACCCTGCTGCTGCTGCGGGACTACCGCCTGCCCGTCCTCTTCACCGTCTACAGGTGAGCACAGCCCCACTGCCCGCAGCGTGCCGGCACAGCCGCTCACGAACGGGGCCCATCTTCCCCCTCTCCCGGCAGCGAGCAGGAGCTGAAGTCCTCCCTGCAGATCCTGGTGGAGCTCGAGACGCGCATCGTGGGCTACGCCACCAACCCCTTCGCCTCGCTCCGGCCCGAGCAGGTCTACTCCAGCCCCAACAAGGCGCCCGTCTACTGCAGCTCTTACTACATCGCCCTGCTGGGGCTGGCGGCATCGGCTGTGCCGGGTGCTGAGGAGCTGGAGGATGATGATGGCTGGCAGGGAGGGGAGCCTAGTGCTGCCGGGGGCATTGCCCCGGCCCTGGGCTGACCCCGTGCAGCCAGCGCCATCCTGCCTGCCCAGCCAACCCCCACCTCCTCGCTGCCCAGGCCCAGGACCCCGTCGATCGGTGATCCAGCCATCCCTCACCCGCACACACACAAGTCACAAGCTTGCGGGGGAACACGCAGCATCCCGGCACAGGCTTGGCACGCCTCCGCCGTGCCAAATAAACCACCACCGGCAGCTGGCCGCCGTGTCTCGAGCTTTATTTCCAAAAAGGCCTTTGTTTTCCCAAAGAAAACAGAGAGCTGAGCCTGCCCCAGCCCCCCCTCCGGTGGCCACGGCCTCTGGAGAGATGGTGAAGGGGACCCCGACTGCGGGACCTGCCGTGCGTGGGGCTGTGCAGCCCCCAGGGTCCCGCAGGGAGCCCCAGCCCAGCACCCGGCTGTCACTGTCACTGTCACATGTGCTGTGCCCGTGCCAGTGCCGCTCCAGCATTGCCCACCAAGCCCCGCCGCCGCCCGGCACCGGCACCCGGCCTCGGTGGCCCCCCAAGGACACTGGGGCGAGTGGTGCTGAGCAAACTGGCCCCTGCAGCATCGCCTGACGCTGCCGGGGACCCGCACTGGCCTGGCATCCCCTCCCTGCGCGGCCAGCGGGTCCGGCACAGCGACGGTGGCAACGTCCCACGTGGGCACCTGTGATGGTTTGGGGAGGCCAGTACCCGCCCCGGGGCTCCCTGCGCCCCAGCGGTGGGTCCCTCCCCGGGGCTCCCTGCGCCCCAGCGGTGGGTCCCTCCCCGGGGTGGGTGCCTGTCGGAGGGGCCAGGGCAGGGCTGGCACGGTCCAGCCGGGGAGGTGGCACGGCGCGGCACTGCCGGCGTCACTCGGCGCCAGCGCGTTCCCGCAGCGCGGGCAGCGTCAGGGTCTCCGGCGCTGACTTCTTGCGCGGGCGAGTCTTGGGGGGGGCGAGGAAATCGGGGGGCTCGTCGCTGAGAGGGGTGGAGGGGGCGCTGGCGGGGGCCGAGTGGGTGGCCGTGGGCTGCCCCACCTCGCTGACCGAGATGGTGGGTGCCACCAGGCCGATGAGCTCGTTGGTGGCCTCCTGCGTCTCCCGCTCGTAGCGCCGCACCTCTTCCATCGTCATCCCTGCCGAGCACAGCCGGGCTTGGGGCCACTCGGCAAGGCCGCATCCTGCACCCCGCCATCCCGGGGCAGCCTGCGCCCCACGCACCGGCTCCCCACCGAGCTGGGTGCTGGGAAGGGGGACAGGGGCTGGGGACAGGGGGACGGGCAGGGAGGGGGATGCTGGGCAGCGCAGCCAGTCCCCCGCTCCGGCACCAGCCCAGCCAGCAGTGGGGAAGGGACAGACAGGCAGCGCAGGCAGGACAGGCAAGGGGACACGCGGGGAGGACAGCAGGGCAGGGGGGGACTCTCCGCCGCTGGGTGCAGGGGGGGGCTCAGCCTGCACCGTGCACAAGCCCCCCTGCGGGCACCCGCCTGCGGGCAGCGTGGTGGGGTCCCCATCCCCTGCGGGCAGCGTGCGGCAAGGCTGCCCGCGCAGCGGGGGTTAGGGGTGCTGGCTCCCCAGTTTTTGGTTTGTGGCCACTTGCATCTGAGTCTCGAAGGCCCGGACGTCTTCCAGGGACATGTCTGGAAGGCAGAGAGCCGCTCACCGGGACGGCCCCGTGCCTGCTGCCGGCCCCCGCTGCTGGCCATCGCCAAACCCGGGGCTCCCGTCCCCGTGTCCGCACGGAGCAGCTGCCTGCAGCGTGTCTCCCTGCCAGACTGGGGGTGCAGGCAGCGCAAGCAGGGGTGTGGGGGCTCCTCTCTTTGCCCACCCCCTCCCCGCCCCGACTTCAGCCAAGCCTTCCCCAGGCGTGCGGCAGAGCGATGCGGGGGTGCAGGCAGGCCGGGGGGAGCGGAGCAGGCAGCACAGGCAGCAGGGGAGCCGGAGGAAGAGCGGGAGCTGCCCGTGGGGGTTTTAGTGGCATCAGCGGTTAAACCCGCAGCCCCCTCCCAGCCTGAGGGTCCGGACACACCCTGGGGACCGTGTATACTTCCCCCCTCACCGGCAGCGCCGGGACGGCCCCACGGACTCACCGCACCACTCGTCCACCCAGGCGAAAGCCTGCCGGTGCCCGATCAGCAGGATGTCCCGGATCACCTGCGACGCACCGTGGGGGGTCACCACCCTGTCACTGTCCCCGCAATGTCCCCTTGCCCCAGCCTGGGCACCCTCCCCTCCTCTCCCCCACCTCACCTTGTGCACGAACTGTTCCACTCGTGTCTGCAGCCCCCACACCTCGAACTTGACGCTCACCAGTTTGTAAGAGCACATGATGGGTTTGGTGTGCTGGCGCCAGCCCTCCCGCAGCGGCCCCCGGCCCGTCTTGGCCGAGCTGAAAAAACGGGGGTCCTGGGCGGGGCAGAGAGGGGGGCTGTGAGCCCCCGCTGGGACAGGGGACAAGGGGGTGGCCCCAGGGAGCTCTCCCCCCAATCCCCACCCGTGCTACCTCCAGGCTGCGGTAGTAACGCTCAGGGATCTCGTCGAAGGCGATGTCCAGGAAGGAGATCTCGTGGTCACCCAGGATTTTATCGCTGTGGAAGATCTGGGGAGGGGAGGGAGGGTGAGAGGTGCCGGCCACACGCGTGTGTCCCCCCCGGCAATGAGTTTGCCAGGTCTCGGCTGCGGCGCAGACTCACGTTCTCGCTGTCCCCACAGTTGTCCTCGTACTTGGTCTCGATGTAGATGGAGAACTTGGGCAGGAAGGAGCACTGCGGGGAGCGGCTGTCAGCTGGCCCCGAGGGACACCCATCCCGAGGGACGCACATCCCAAGGGACGCCCACTCCCAAGGATACCCACTCGCAAATGACACCCAGCCCCAAGGGACACCCAGTCCCCGGGACACCCGCCCCAAAGGACACCCACCCAGAGGGACACCCAGTCCCCAGGACACCCACCCCAAGGGACACCCACCCAGAGGGACACCCAGTCCCCAGGACACCCACCCCTAAAGATGCTGACTCCAAGGGACACTGACCCCAAGAGACACCGACCCCAGCTCCCCCTCCCCAGCCATGCCAGGTGCTGTGGAAGGGGCCAGGTCCCCCCGTGCCACCTCCTTACCGTGTACTCTGCAAGGACACGGTGGCACATCAGCATCACGGGGTGGCATCGCCAGATGGCATCACAGGGGAGAGAGGGAGCGGTGAGACTGGGCGAGACTCTCCCGGCAGCCCACCGCCACTGCCAGAGAGGGGCAGGGGGGTCCGGCGGTGCCTGGGTGCCCCGTCCCCGCGCCCTGCCCGGGGCTCACCAGTGATGGTGTAGGGGTAGTAGTTCCAGGCCTTCTCCGTGATGTAGAAGATGCGGGGGGTCACCGCCCGTGCCCAGCTCGGCAGTTTGCTGGGGGGGGACCCGCGGCGGGGGATGCTCCGCTCAGGGCAGGATACAGCCCTGCCCAGTGCCACCCGGCCCTGCTCGGTCGAACGCAGCCCCCCCGTCCTGGCTCTGGGACCCCCAAACCCTCCCCAAGGACCCCAACTGCTCCCCAGGACCCTCACCTCCACCCCAGGACCCTCATCTGCACTCCAGCATCGCCTCCGCCCAGAATCCTCTGCCACCTCCCCAGGATCCTCATCTGCACCCCAGGACCCCCCCCCGGGACCTGTGACACCTCCCCAGGACACTCACCTCCACCCCAATGCCCCCCACCCTCTCCCCAGGACCCCCACCTCCTACCCACGCAACCTTACCCCCACCCCAGGGACCCCTCACCTCTCTTGCTGGACCTCCACCCCTTTCCCAAGGCCAGGACCCCAGGGCGCTCCGGTCCCCCCACCAGACAACCCTGCCCGCCCTGCCCAGCACCCTGTGGCTGCCCACACTCCCAGGGCAGGATCAGGCCCCCCAGGGGAGCTGGGAGGGGAGAGGGTTTGATTAATTTGCAGGCGTTATAAATACCATCCCCGCGAGGGGAATCGTGAGCGCCGCAGCTAAAAATAGCCTGTCTCACGCCAGCGGCTCCCCGGCGAGGGAGCAGCCGATGCCCGTGCCGTGGCGTGCCGCAGCTGGCAGCGGGGACATGGGGACAGCGGCACCGGGGGGGACAGCAGCTGCCCAACGGGCACCCGGGGACACCCCCAGGGACGGGCAGAGCAGCCAGCTGGGGATCCTCACCGAGCCCCGCGCCGCGGCTGGGGCACCCACCGGTGCCTGGAGATGGGTGCCTGTCGGGAGAGGGGTGTACCCCTGCAAGATGGGTGCACCCCAGGAGATGGGTGCAGCCCCCAGAGAGGGGTGCACCCCTCGGAAGAGACGGGTGCACCCTGGGTGATGGGTTCACCCTGCGAGATGGGTGCAGCCCCTGAAGATGGGTGCAATGCCTGGGAGATGGGTGCACCCCAGGAAAGGGGTGCAGCCCCCCAAGGTAAGTGCACCCCAGGAGATGGGTACACCCTGAGAGATAGGTGCATCCCCCAAAGATGGTGCACTCCAGGACTTGGGTGCACCCCTAGGAGACAGGTGCAGCCCCTGAAGATGGAGGCACCCCTGGGAGATGATGGAGGCACCCCTGGGAGATGATGGAGGCACCCCTGGGAGATGGTGGAGGCACCCCTGGGAGATGGTGGAGGCACCCCTGGGAGATGGTGGAGGCACCCCTGGGAGATGGGTACAGCCACACTGCAGGGTATCCAGGACTCAGAAAGGATGTTCCCCAGGAATTTTGGAGGGAGGGATGGGGCCACCCCGATGCTTGCCCATGCCCCCCATGGAGCTGGGGCCCCCTCCCCACCCAGCACCCCTTGCCAGCGCCGCAGCCTCACCTGGAGAGGTGGACGCGCTTCTCGGTGAACTGGCCGGGGCCGTGGACGGGGTCCTCGTGGGGCTCGTTCTTCACCACCTCCACACCCTCGCCCTTCTCGCTCTCCTGGTGACTGTGCTTGCTGATGGTGTAGAGCTGCCCCACACGGTACTGCAACCACAGCGCCCGGCCTCAGCGCTGCCAGCCCCTGCCCCGGTGCCCCCCCCCCCAGCCAAGCCGGCTGCCGGCACAGTGCCGGGGTGGGCTCCTCTTTGCCAGGCTAACAGGTTTCCAGCCACACCACTGAGAGGGGAAACTGAGGCACGGAGCAAAGAGGTGCCAGACCCCGAGCTGTGCAGCGGGCAGGGGTCTCCTGGGGCACCCTGTTTCAACCCCCCCTGCCCCTGGGCTGTTCCAGCACCCGGATGAGGGCCAGATCCTGTCCTCCCTGCTCTTCCCTGGTGTCCAAGTGTCTTGCAGAGTGCCTGGAGGCTTTTTGAACAGCAAGCTACCTGGGAGCCAGGGAAAACTGTATAAATTTATAGTGAGCGAGAGAGATATATGTATACGGATATATATGTGTGTTTTTGATGACGTGGCTGCACAATAAGTGTTTTACTGTTCTGCTGAAGATCCCATCCATCGCCCTAACCGCCAGTGCGTTCCCACCACCCCTCCCTGCCTAATTGAAAACCTTCCTCGGATGCAAATGCAAAACCGGTGCCCGGGGAGGGCTGGTGCTGCCCGGCATGGGCACTGCCGCCGCAGCTCCCTGCTCCCTGGAACTGCCCCGTCGGTACCAGACACACACGAGAGACCTCTGGGATGGGATGCCGTTGGCAATCACTGCTGTTTGCCAACGGGGATTCGGGCTCCCTCCCGGAGCCTGGATCGAGCCTGTGCTCCCCATCGGAGCAGCCACCCCCAGCGCTGCGGTGCCACGGGCACCCAGACCCCCAGCGCCCTTCGCCCACCGACTCATCCCGTGGTGACTTGGCTGCCCCCGAGCAGCCTCTGGTGCTGCTGTCGGGCTCCGTGCCCAGGGATGGGATGTCCCCCCCTGTCTGCACCCCAAAACACGGCTCAGCACTTGTGTGGAGCACCCCCGAGCCCGACGGCTGTGGCCAAAGCACATCTTGGCAGCCCGACGAAGGCAGTCAGTCCCTGCCACAAGCCATGCCACGAGGGGATGGCAAATGGGGTCACGGTGTCCCCCAGCCCCTCTCCGGGCAGGGGCCACGATCCTCTGGCACCTCACTGCTGTGGGAACAGGACCCACCCCCCCACACACAGCCCCCTCCCACCGCTGTGTCCCCTCAGCCGAGCTCTCCCTGGCACCCATGACCGGGGGCTTCCCCCTGCATCTGCACCCCTCTTTCCAAACGACCCCCCCCCCCGAGCCTGGGGGCACAGGCAGCCCCGGCCCCCCACTCACCTCCTCGGTGGTGAGCGGCATGCAGATGCGGTACTCCTTGATGAGCATGGTGGCGTGGGCAGGGCTGGCGGGGCGGGGGGGTCAGGCGGAGGCGTCGGCGCTGGCGGGGGCACAGCTCATTCTGGGGGGACCCGGGGAGAAGGGGGGGGGGGGGGGAGAGGAGGGCGCGGTGAGAGTGGGGGGGACGGCGCTCGTCAGCCTCCCACGCTCCCATCCCATCACCCCACGCTCGAGGCAGCCTCCCAGCTCCCGGCACGGGTGACTTCATGAGCCGTTGCCATGGCAGTGGCGTGAGGTCACCGGTGCGAGGAGCAGCCTGGGTGTACCCGGCCGGGAACACCCCAGTACCCCGAAACCCCCCTGACATTAACCTCTTCTCTGCCAGTCAGACACCTGCTCCCCTAAGCAGCTGTCTCGTAGCACACATGTCCCCCCCCCCCCCAAAATATGGTGCCATCCCTTCGGGGTGCCACATCCACACCCGATCGCCATGGCCAGCACAGAAAGAGGGCTGCAGGGATGTCGGGATGGGTTCTGACCTGCCGATGCCTCTGGGGACCCACCTCTGGGCACCCCCACTCTGACCTGCCCCAGGGAACACCCTGGTGCGGGACATCCCTTCCCTGGGCAGGAGGAGCCCCCGCCCCAGGGCTGCTCCCCAGCACCCATCCCAGCCAGCACCCACTCCGGAGCTGCTCCCCAGCACCCATTCCAGCCAGCACCCAGTCCGGAGCTGCTCCCCAGCACCCATCCCAGCCAGCACCCACTCCGGAGCTGCTCCCCAGCACCCATTCCAGCCAGCACCCAGTCCGGAGCTGCTCCCCAGCACCCATCCCAGCCAGCACCCACTCCGGAGCTGCTCCCCAGCACCCATTCCAGCCAGCACCCAGTCCGGAGCTGCTCCCCAGCACCCATCCCAGCCAGCACCCACTCCGGAGCTGCTCCCCAGCACCCATTCTAGCCAGCACCCACCCCAGGGCTGCCCCCCCCAGCACCCATCCCGGCCAGCGGCATGCCAGGCTGCCCCGCTTGCCCTCACTCCAGCCGGGGTTGGGGATGCTCGGGGTGGCTAACGGAGCAGCTCAGGGGGCAAGGAGGGGATGTGAACCCCCCCAGGCAGTCACCCTGAATGGGGGATCAAACCTTGGAGGGGGCAGATGGGGTCTTGTCTGGGGGACAACTTGTCCAGCTGAGGACACAGAGGCATCCCTGGGGGGCATAGAGGTGTCCCTGGGGGTGTAGAGGGACACAGGGGCGTCCCTGCGGGACACAGAGGTACCCTAATACCAGGGGAGAGGGCTGGGGCTGGGTTGCAGGAAGCCATCAGGCCCCCCGGGGGGGCTCCACACCCAGCCCCGGACCCCCGCTGCCCCGAGCCGGGGGGGCGCGGTGAGGGAGGGGACACTCCGGGGACCCACGGGAGCACGGGGCACTCCGGACCGCGGGGGCACCGCGTCCCCGCCCCACCCCGGCACCGGGGTAGCTCAGACCGGCCCGGGGCGGGGGAGGGGGGAAACGTCCCGTCTGGAGCGGGGGTGGACTCCGGGGGGCTCCCGCCGGTCGTGCCGCCGGGACAAGCGGGAGATGCTCGGGGCACGCCGGCAGCACCGGCATCGCTCCGCATCGCCCCCGCCGGGGCCGGGGTTCCCGCCGCCGCCCCCCCCCCCGCCCCGGCCGCACTCACCCCGGCCCGCGGCGGTGCCCGGTACCCGGTGCCCGGTACCCGGTGCCCGCTCCCCGCCGCCGCCGCCGTGCCCCGCCGCCCCGGGCCGTGCGCAGGAGCGCGCCGCCCCCCGCGCCGCCCCCCGCACCGCCGCACACCGACCCCTAGGGGGAGGAATGCACCGGCACCGGGATGCACCGGCACCGGCACCGGCACCGGCATCGGCACCGGCACCGGGATGCACTGGCACCGGCACCAGCACCGGAATGCACCGGCACCGGGATGCACCGCACTGGAATGTGCTGGCACCAGCACCAGACTGCACCGACACCGGTACCAGCACCACATTGGCATTGCACTGTACCGGCACCGCACGGCACCGGCACCGGCACTGCACCAGCACCTGCACCACACTGGCACCGGGGGTCCCCCAGCGCGGCACAGACCGGCACCGGGCTGTCGGCCGCTCCGGGGGACCCTCAGCTGTGTGCGTTGCTGGGAGGTGCCCCGGGGTCTCCCGCTGGGCCGTTCCCCCACCCCAAACCTCCTCTTGCACCCCCACTCCACCCACCCACCTTCACCCCACTGCCGGGCCAGCTCCCCGCACCCCAGCCTCACCGCGCCCCACGTGCCGGCACCACTCGCGTGCCACCCAGAGCCCAACACATTACCGGCACGAAGCACCGCAACTCATAACCGACGACAGCCACCGCCGTCACCGCGCTTCCCCTGCCCCTTTCCTGCATGAATTTCAATCAACCCGGGCACTAAAAATAACTGTGCTCGGGCGCTGGGCAGGGCTGTGCCCAGCCGCTGCGGTTTCCCCTTTATTTTGCTCCAAAAAAGCTGCCTTGGGAGGCTGCGAGCGGCTCCCCTGTGGCCTTGCCGTCACCGGCAGTGCTGGGACCCTCCGGTGCAGCGGCACGGAGTCCCCACTCACCCGGGCACCGTGGCACCCATGGGTGCTGTGCAGTGTCCAAGGCTGGGTCCAGGCTCTTTCACCACCTTCCCCCGGCGCAGCCGCTGTGGTGGCCGATCTGCGTTACCTCGTGGAGCTGGAGGAGGGGGCGGGGGGGACACCCTGCTCTGTGTCCCCCAGCCAGCCCCAAGGCGGCGGGGATGGCGGCCCCAGGCTGTGACTAGGGCCTGGGCAAGCAGCGGTGGAGGGAGCAGCGCGGGTGGGGACGGGAGCCCCAAAACCTGCCGGGGGTGCCCCACGGCAGCACCCATCCCACATCCGGGAGCGCCGTGCCAGGAGCTCTGCCTGCCGGGCGCGCCTTCCCCTGCCCGCACCGGTCCCTCGCTGCCTGCGCCGCTCTGCTGCCTTCCTCCCGGTGCACCGGCCCGCGGTGCCACCGTCCTCCCGAGGACATGGCTCAGCACCCCCAGCTCTGGGGGTACCGGCTGATAGCCACCCCCCACCCCCACCCCCCCCCGCGGCCCTGTGTCCCCCCTCAGGCAGCCCCCAAAGGGTAAAGCAGCAGGCACGGGGTTCCTGCCAGCTTGGCCGGGACCAAAACTCAGCGAGGCTCCCGCTGGGGTGCCACTGGTGGTGACAAGGACCTGGCGGGCTCTCAGCCCCCCCAGCAGCCACATTCCTCCCAAACCCGTTCCGCAGGGTCCTGTGTGCCGGTGCCAAGGCAAAGGCATCTGGGTTGGTTTTTTTTTTTTTTTTTTTTCTTTTCCTCATCATGCCCTGCTTCGCTCTGGTGCTGAGTCAACAAGGAGAAAAGAGGATTTGTTGAAGCCCAGTGCCCCCCGGTTTCTCACCCCCCAAGCCCCCCGTGCTGCTGGGGAGGATCCTGCAAAAGGCCGGGAAGGGGAAGAAAGAGGAGGCAGAAGCAAGTGAAAAATGGCCCAATTTAATCCCAAAGCCTACCCCACCCCCCCCTCCTCCCCAGCTCCAGGGTTTCGGGAGCACCCTGGTCCACCCCACCCAGCCCCCCTGGCCCCCCCTGGGCGGGCAGCCCCGGGAGCACCCCACGCCTCTCTGCTCCGGCGCGGGGAGAAGGAGCTTTCCGAGGCGTCCGGCCTCTTCCTCAGCTCCACCAGCAGCCCCACACCAGCACCCAGCCGAGTCCCACCACCCCTCGCCCCACCGGGGCCACCTGGAGCCCTTAGGAAGATGTCCTGATGAAAACCATCCTGGTGGAGTACACCAGGTCCACCAAGTAGGCGATGAGGTTGAAGATGGTGAGGAAGGTGATGCCCAGGTGCTTGTCCCACCAGCAGTTCCTGCCGCAGGAGTCGGGGCGGCTCCTTCCCCTGAAGCTGTAGAGGGGCCAGAGGATGGTGGCAGTGATGTACATCGCCAGGGCCAGGGCATTGTAGCCCACCAGCATCTTCTCCAGCGGGCAAGGCATGTAGGTGAGGCACCGGCCGATGGTGAAGACGATGATGAGGAGGGTGATGATGAAGCAGATGGAGTAAACAGCCACGCACCACTGCAGGCCAGCTTCTGAACTGTAGGCATCCAGCAAGGAGAAGATGAGGCAAGCCACGTAGGCTTCGAAGACCTTGAGGAGCCCAGGCACGGTGGAGAGGAAGCTGCTGACGTCCCCCGGCTTGGCACGGGTGAGCCCCACCTCAAGGGCGTAGGCAAGGAAGCAGAGGCAGGAGATGGTGGTGGCCACGGCCTGGCGGACACACTTGCTGCCGCTGCAGGGGCTGCTGATGAAGGTGGAGGGAAAGACCACGGAGGTGGTGAAGACCATCAACGCCGCCAGCATGGAGAAAGCCGAGGTGAAGTCATCCCAGGAGAGAGGCAGCTTGGGGTAAAGCTCCAGCAGCTCCAGCAGCACCACCAGCAGCGTCACGGCGAAGCAGAAGCACCAGGTGAACATGCACCACGTCCCGTAGGGACCCCTGAAGTCCCCCGTGGAGGCCACCAAGCTGAAGGCGATGCAGGACAACACGATGGCGAAGAGCCGGGCAATGCCAACCCACGAAGTCACAGCACGGAGGTTCACCGTCGCCACAGCCATGGTCCTGGCCAGCTCTCCCACCCACACCGCGCGCCGGGAAGTGGGTGCTCCCAGCAGCCGCTCTTATCTGGGTGCCGGGACGGAGGGGTGGGGCGTGGGGCAGGGAGCTGCCGGCCCCCCCGAGCTGTCCGGGCCGAGGACCCCCAGCTCGGCTGTCACCACCACCACCACACACACACGGCTCGCTGGGGCGGCTGCTGGGGGCTGGCGGTGGCAGCGGCGCAGGCGGGTGGATCATTAACGTGGGGCCGGGCGAAGGGTGCCGGCGCTCGCGGTGACGCGGTGACACTGAGCCCTGTGATGGGGCCGGGGCGGGGGGGGGGGAGCAGGAAGCCACCGTCCTGGCACTGCGCCCCCGCGGCGGGAGGCACAAAGGGGCCTTTCAGGTACCCTGGGAGCACCGGGGAGGGGGGGGGGGGGGGGCGCCGCCTCGACACCCCCATCCCCACGCTGTGCCAGGGCCAGCAGCCAGTGGGGCAGCACCCGTGGGGTCCACCCAAGGGGCTGGGGGGGGGGGGGGGCTGCACCCAGTGCTGGGTGCCACAGTGGGGAGTGGCCACGTGTATCCCCCACACACACACCCTTGCAGGTGGCACCTCCGCACCCCTCCCAGCACCTCCACACCCCTCCCAGCACCTCCGCCACCCGATAAGCGGCTCAAAGTCCGGCTGTGCCAGCTGCCGTCACCGGGCAGGGCGGGTGGTGTGACTGTGGGGATGGGACCCTCACCCTGCCCACCCCGGCCACCCGTGGCACCAGCAGCACCCCGCCAGCAGCACCGCCAATTCCCCGGGGTGCTCGGCCGGGGCTGGCCCCAGCCACCCCGGCAGCACCGTGAGAAGGTGGAGGGGGGGGGGTCTCACCCCACGGCCCCAGCAGCCAGAGCGACACGGGAGGGTGGTGGCACATCAGAAGCGGGGAGTCCAGCAGGAGGATGATGATGGTGAAGGCTGAAGGCTCCAGGTTGACCTTTAATGTCGCGCAGGGTCCAGGAGCTTTTGGAGGAGGGACCAGGGGACCCAACCCAGGGCAGCCTGGTGTCTCTGGGGGGCTCCTCACCCCAAACCGGCGTGTGCTCCTCACCCCCAGGGCAGGGTCCAGGCACAGCCACTGGTGTGGGCAGGGGACGGGCACTGCCACGGGGGTCAGCGGCAGCTCCGGGGTGGGGGGGCAACGCAGAGGCTCAGAGGTCACTGCCACCCTCGCCCTTGCCGGGCAGCCCGTTGAGGGGGCTCAGCACCGGCCCGTTGCTCTCGTTCAGCCGCCGCACGCGGTAGCTCTCGTAATGGACGTTGTGGGTGATATCCTTCAGGTCTTGCAGATGGGACCTGCCCGGGGTGGCGGCGAGGAGGAAGGGCATCAAGTCACCGTCCCCCCGCTGGGTGCCACGTCCCCGTCGTCCCCCCCCCCCACGCCCCCGGCCCTGTCACCCACTCACCGGATCAGCAGGTCCCGCAGGAGGGGGAACTCGCAGTGCGCCGGATTCTCCACTGCAAAGCAAGGCAGAGCAAGGCAGCGGGGCTGGCGGGAGGGCAGGGCGGCGGGGGGATGCCCGGGGAGCACATCCCCAACCCGCACACCCCCCCCCCCCCAGCACCCCCTCGGGCAGGGATGCACCCAGGGTGCTGCTGCCTGCCCCCCCCCCAGCAGACCCCCTCTACCTGGGGAGGGCTGGGGGGGTTCAAGGGGCTCTGCTCACCTTCAATGATGCCCCACTTGGTCTTGCGGCCCAGCACCCGCTTGCCGTTCACCTGGTGCTCCTGGTCTGCCCCCACCACAGCGAAGGGGATCTTCTCCTGCCAGCACAGAGGAGCACGCTCACCCCGGGGTGCTGCCGGGCTCCCCCGGGGAGGGGTGTCTCTCCCCCACCGTGGTCCCCAGGGGTCAGCATCCCCAAGCCCAGCGCTCACCCGAATCCTGTCATTCAGCGCCCTGTCATCCGGGTCCTGGTCGAAGTCCTCCTGCGGGTACACGCTGATGGCGTGGGTCTTCAGGTCCTCCTGGATCTGTGGGGTAAGGGGCTTGAGCTGGGGTTGGGGGGGGACACGGAGCACCCCGGGAGCCCCTTGGGAACCTGTCCTTACCCGTTTCTTGAACTCTGCCCGTTCCTCCAGGGTGAGGGTGTCGGCTTTGGCAATCACCGGCACCACGTTGACGATCTTACTGAGCCGTCGCATGAACTCCAGGTCCAGTGGACGCAGCCTGGCAGGGACCACCAGCACCGCGGGGTGACCCCATCGCCATCACCCCGGGGTGACCCCACCACCATCACCGTGGGGTGACCCCATCACCATCACTCCGGGATGACCCCACCACCATCACCATGGGGTGACCCCATCACCATCACCCCGGGGTGACCCCACCACCAGCACTGTGGGGTGACCCCACCACCATCACCCCGGGGTGACCCCACCACCAGCACCGCGGGGTGACCCCATCACCATCACCCCGGGATGACCCCACCACCATCACCCCCACATGATGCCACCACCACCTCCCCCAGGGTGACCCCACCACCATCACCCCGCCGTGACCCACACCACCAAGCAGGGAGCACCCACGGGTGCTGAGTGGGGACTCACCAGTGACCCGTGGGGGGGACAAAGTAGACGCATCCATGGACCCGCGTGTCCGGGATCTTCCTCTTGCGGGTGATGAGGATCTCCTCCCGCAGGTACCTCTCGTACTGCTCGTTGATGTATTTGATGATGGGGTCCCAGCTGAGGATGAGGAGTTCGGGGACGGCATCTGAGCTCAACCCCCACCCCAAATTGCCACCCACCAAGCTGGGATGCTGCACCCCACTGCATCCTACCAGTTCTCATTGTTGATCTGGTCCCCGAACCCCGGGGTGTCTGTCACCGTCAGCTTCATCTTCACGCCCTTCTCCTCGATGACTATGGGGCAGAGATGTGGGTCAGCAGGGACCGAGCACCAGGGACAAGCAGGGCACCGGGGCGGGGAGGGTTTGAGGCCGCATTTGCAGTCCCCTCCTTCTCCCCAGGGTTGGTGGGACACGACTCCATGGTGGTGACCTCACCGTGGGTGATGGACTGCAGCTGCACCGTCTTGGGGATGCGCTCCTCCTGGCTGGGCTGCGAGGCTTTGCGGCTCACCTTCGACTTGAAGAGGGTGTTCACCATCGTCGACTTCCCCAGCCCGCTCTGCCCTGCGGGGACGCCGGCAGCTCCAGTTTGTTCCCCCCCCCCCCAATAAATTAATTCCCCCAGGGCGATAACATCTCGGTATCCATTCGGGAGCATCCCAGAGGTTGGGATAGCTCCGCTTTATCTGCCCAATAAATCTATTCCCCAAGGCGATGACCCCTCGGTACCCTTTCAGGAGCATCCCAGAGGTTGAGATGAGCTCACCCACCAGCATCGCTACGTTATGGGGTACGGGATGTTGCTCCTCTCCAATTTATTGCTGCTTAAATCCCTTAAAAGCATGATTTCCCCCGGCATGGCGGCATCGGAGCAAACTCCGTGCCCGGCGCTCACCCACAACCATGATGTTGAACTCGAAGCCCGTCTTCATGGTTTTGATTTTCATCTGGTCGAGCACAGCTTCGATTCCCACGTAACCAAAGAGCTGGCGACCCGCCGGGCCAGGCGCCGCGGTGAGGGGCATCTCCTCCTCTGGCACGGCCGGTGGCTCCATGCTGCGCTCCTGGGGCTCCAGGCTGCTCCCTGCACGGGTGGGCACAGGCGGGTGAGCCCGGACCCCCCCTCACCCCGGTGCCCACCCCTCCGCCAGCACCGTTGCCCCAGCAGCAGCCGCCCCGGCGGGCACGCAGCCCCGGCACATTCCTGGCAGCCGGTGAGGCTCGGCATGGCAACGGGACACGCTGTGTGTGTGTGTCTGTGTCCCCCAGCACCCCCACGGGTGGAGGGGGGACAGGGAGGCAGTGTAGTGGCATCCTCGGGGTGGCCGTGCCCCGCGATGCCACCGGTTGGCTCTGTGAGGCGGCTGCATTGGGCACCGTGTCCACGCCGGCACCTTTCACCCAGCCCAAGGTGCCACCCGCACCGAGGTCACCTCTTGCAGCACCCCGGGGGGCTCCGGGCCGGGGGCAGGACATGCCACCCCACATCGTACCCAGACATTGGTCCCCGATGGGGCGAGGGGCACCCGCCTGCGGCCCCGGGGGGGTGCTGGGGAGGGCCAGCGCAGGCACCGGTGTGACCCCCAGCCCCAGGGACATGCAGGGTTTGCCTGAGGGACCGTGCCCGGAGCATGCCTCATCTTGGGGGCCACCAGAGCCCCACACCCGCCCCAGCCCTTTGTGTGGCAGATTGGGGGGCCCCCAAGCCCTTTCTTCCTCCTCCTCCTCCTCCTCCTCCTCCTCCTCCTCCTCCTGCTGCCCGGCACGGCCATTGTTCAGGTCCTACCTCAGCGCCGCAGTGCCCTCGCTCAGCACCCCGCTAGCATCGGGGGGGGTCCCTTAGGCGCCATCAGCATCCCCGTCCCCATCAGCGCCGCAGCCCGGCCCCCTCTCCTCCGCCAGCCCCCGGCTGGCACCAAACCCAGCTCTGGCGAGGCTGCCGCTCCCACACATGACCAGCATGGCAATATCCCTCCCCCCTTCCCTCCCCCCCGCCGCAGCCCCCTCCCTGCCACAGCCAAGCCCCTGTGCCGAGTTTGCCGGTTGCCGGGTGGGGTGGGGAAGGCGCCCACCCGGCACACGGCATCGCTCAGCCTCCAGCCAGGCCGGCACGAACGGGGACCCCAGCACAGGGATCTGTGTGTGTGTCCCCCTCCCCATGGCACCCACGGGTGGCTGTGGTGGCACCGAAGAGGAGCGGCAGCACTCAGCTGTGGGTACCGTATCCACCAGCACCCACCGGCTCCCTGGCACCGGCGACCACTGTGCCCCCCCCCCTCCCCGAGCAGCCCCACGGCAGGGCAAGGTGCGGGGTTGGTGGCCCTGCCACCCGTCCCGCTGCCGCAGTGCCCCACGGCGCCTGCGTCCCCCCACACACACACACACTGCAGCCTCCCCGCCTGCCACATATGTGCCAGGCGGTTCTTGGCGTCGGCGAGGCTCGAGCAGCAGCTTGCTGAAGGTTGAGGCTGCCGACGGAGCCAAACTGCCCTGGCGAGGCCGCGGCTGTGTGCCACGCACCCTGGGGACGAGGGACCCGTGGGCAGGGTCCTGCCCGAGCCCGCCTGAGGGTACCAGATGATGGAGCCGAACCCGGGGCCGGTAGCCATGGCAACAGCATCCCGGCGGGGCAGGGGCGGGGGGCACCCAGCACCCTATACCTGCTGGTGGGTGCAAACCCGCCGCCTCGCTGGTGCCTGGGAAGGGTTGGCGGGGTTGGGGACAGCAGTGCTCTGTGTCCCACCCACCCCCCCACACACCCCCCCCCAGCCCCACAGGCCGGTGTTCCTCGGAAATGGCGAAACAGCCGGGGACTTCCTGGTGACAGCGGTGACACCCAGCCAGGGTGGAGAGGGGGGGGCGAGGGCAGGGAGGGTTCCCGCTCCTGCGGGCACCCACCCACCCAGCACTGCCCACAGGCAGGCAGGGAGGGAGGTGGGACCACCCCCCCCCCTCCATGCTCACCTGGGTGTGCCACCAC